ATTTTCAAAATATATGCAAGGCTCACGCGGTGATATAAGGAAGATTGTGATTATAAATTGTGAAGTGTTATTATGAGGTGTGGTACCTCGGTTGTAACTCTTGTTGTACATCTATGTTCAACGAGATTGTTGATGGAACGGTTATTGTTATTCCTTTATTTGCTCTACTTGTATTTGATGGTGTTTGATTTCTTGTTGTTCCTATCATATGCTCGTTTTTGTTGTCCTTTATTGCTTTAATACCCGTTGTTAGCCTTACATCATTATACTGCTTTGTTGTCAATTATTTGTTTATTTTCCGTTATTAGATTATATATATAATATGTTCAGGTTTCTTTTGTCTAGTAGATGTTTTGACCTGGCCTCGTCACTACTCTACCGAGATTAGGTTTGATACCTATTGGGTACCATTGTGGTGTACTCATGCTACGCTTCTACACATTTTTGTGCAAATCCAGTACTTCTTCTTGTGCCGGACGCCAGTGATTGGACCCGGATATTCCAGAGACTTCAAGGTATACCTGCTTGACACTCACAGGCCTCAAAGTCACCTTCTGTTATTGCTTTTAATACTATTTATCTTCTTATCAAATAGTGTTGTATTAGAGATTTTCAGTACATTTTAGTAGAACTTATGACTCAGTTTCACCAGCTTTGGGGTTATTGTAACTGTTGGACCGTTTTGATTTCACTATTGCAGTTATTAGTTTAATTTATCATCTTAGTTGTTAATTCTACTAAATTCTCCATGTATGTTAGGCTTACCTAGTCTTGGAGACTAGGTGCCATCACAGTATCCTAAGGTGGGAATTTGGTGTCGTGACAAGTTAGTATCAGAGTTCTAGGTTCGTAGGTGCTACGAGTCATAAGCAGGTTTAGTAGAGTCTTGCCGATAATTACAGACACGTCTGTACTTATCTTTGGGAGAATATGGAACTATTAGGAAAATTTCACTTCTTTGATTTCTTGTCGTGGGAATTTTTTGATTTCGAAATTTGAGCCTTTGTGTTTTTATTCTCTCACAGATGGTGAGGACACGCACTGCTGGATCAGATGATCAGATACCTGCGCCCCCTGCTAGAGCCGAGAGAGGCTAAGGCCAGGGTAGAGGTCGAGGAGAGGCACGTGCGGTAGCCAGATCACATGTCCGAGCAGCGACTGAGGAGCCACCAGTAGCTTTGGTTGGGGGACATGAACCCGAGACGCCTGTTGTTACCCCTAGACTTCAAGAGACCCTAGCACACTTCGTGAGTATGTTCGGTACTCTAGCTCAGGCGGGATTAATCCCGGTTTCTCCAGCTACATCTGAGGCTGGGGGAGGAGCTCAAACTCTCACGGCCCGTACTCCAGAGCAGCGGATCCATGTTTATCAGGTTTCAGGAGTTTTTCCAGCACAACCCTTTATTCTGGTTTATCCTGAGGTCAGGCTAAAGGCATCTGAGGAGGATTAGAGGAGACTAACCAATTAATGTAAGTCCAAATTTTAACAACATTCCCTTTTTAAAGGTTCCCAGGAGTTATGGTGTTTCTGGTGGATGACACAATACACAAGATAAAGGCAATTAGTGAATTTGTTAGGTTGTGTTCTTGTATTTTTTTTTTTTTTTTTGGTGTATATTCTTCCTTGTATAGATGTATTGGTTTTTAGAAGCTTTTCCCCCAAATTTGCAAGTCTGCATCATAAAATGAACAAAATTCTATAATTATAATATAATTAATAATCTTTGATTTTTTTTTAAAAAAAATTATAAAAATTCAGGAGACACTTATGTGTAAAAACTAGTAATATATTCTATATACATAGAGAGAGAAGGAAACTAAAATAATTAAAATAAGAAAAAGAGAGGAAAAAAATACGAAATCATCACTCTATAGCCACTCGGGCAAAATAATGGCCCTACTTTTTTAGCTTTTATTAACATTTTAATATCAACTTATAAACAAAACCCTAAAATTCTATTCTTTCTCCCCTCTTTCAGCTCCCTACTTCTCTCCCTCCCTCCCCCTCCCCCTCCCCCTCTCTCTCCTCATCTTCTCCCTTCTTCAACCTTCTTTTCCCTCTCTTCTCATCTTCTCCCTTTTCCACTCCTACCTTTTTTTCATCTTCTTTTCTTCTCTTCCACTATAACGACACCAACACACCATTTTTTTTATTCTCTCTCTCTCTCTCTCTTATAATTTCCTCCTCCTTCACTTAGATGAAAAAAATACTATCTTCATTGTGTAATTTTCGGCCAAATTCTGACAATGGTTGCCGTCTTTTTCGCTTTCTGTCCACTTTCAGATATGGTACTGTATGACACTTTTTTGGATAAAATTTATGAGAAGATGAGAGATGAAGAAAATAAAATGGCCACTGTCGGAGAAAAACTTTTTTCTGCCAAGTTGGTTGTCCTCCATTACTGTCAATGCTCCTTTATCTATATATCATGTAATTCTTGTATAATATGAGTATAATCATTATGTATACATTATACATTGATGATATATTTACTATACATTTATTATACACATATTATACAAAAGTGGACGTGAAAGATTATAGTGGCTACGTGAGTATTGACAACATTATATATAACGTGTATAATTATGTACGCACATTTGTATGAAAGGTGTATTTATATTCATAGGATGCATATACACTATTTATACACATTTCATGTTCATTTAATTTTGTATATAAAGTGTATATACAATGTATAATGTATATATGCGGTGCGTATATAATTTATAATATGTTTAAAAAGCGAATAATTAATATTCTTTTGTATATAAAGTGTATAATCTTTCTCTCACAGATACTCTCAACATTTATTTCTTTTTCCCTTTTAGATCTTATTTATTTAGGTTTAATAATCTATTTATATAATATATAAAAACCGTATATACATCGTCTTTTGTTTTTTTTTTCTTCTCATTCCTACTTTACCATTTCTTCTTCTTCTCTTTTGTAATAATTTTTTTATATGAATTCTCACTCTTTCATTTTTTTCTCTTTTAAGTTAATTCTTAAAAGTTGTAGTTTTGTATAAAAAATACATATACACTTATATAAAGTTGTATATACATGGTACTTGTATATTAATTTTATATAGAAGTTGCAAATGCACCGTTATACAATGTTAAAAACTATATATGCAATGTATACTGAGTTTGGCAGTGTGTCGTTTGTGTATATTGAGTATATCCGAGTGTGTTTGTGTATCTAATGTGTATACCAAGTGTATCTGAGTTTGTTTGTGTATCTGAAGTATATATTGTATACATTGTAAAATGTACATCTCTCTCTCATACACATATAATCCCGTTATCTGTGTGTATTTTTTCTTCGTGAGTTGAGTTTTTAAGTAAGTTTTTCTCTTTTGAAAGATATTTTATTTTTTTGAATTCACCGGCTTTTTGGACTTTTGACCGAATTGTTCTTTTTTGTGTAATTAAAAAACTATTTGACTAAAATAGTTTCATATTTTACATTGCTTTGGATTGAAGATATATTTTTTATTACTGTAAATGAGATTTCTAAGATGAAAAATCATTTCACCGGCTATCTATTATAATTAGTAATTGGCTTCAAATTGCATAATAGATTTGTGGGCTAGAGGTTGTCAAAAGTTTCAGCCGAGCGGCTAACGGTGAAATTGGTAAAAATAGCACGGTATAGCCAGTTTTTGGACTGGTCAATCAAAAATAGCCAGCATTTACCAAGTCAATGAAAATTAGCCACCGTTTTGCTGCAATAGAGACCGGTCCAGCATAATATATTGGAGTTCGGTGCACTTGTGTATGAACTCCAGCATATTATGCTGGACCGGTATACTTTGCTGGCTCCAGTATAAAATACTGGATTATACTGGACCATTATACTTGCTGAAACTCCAGTATATTATGCTGGAGTTCTAGTGTACTTATGCTGGAACTCCATCATATTATGCTGGAGTTCCAGCATACTATTCTAGAACTCCAGTATAATATGTTGGAGTTCAAGTATATTTATGCTGGAACTACAACATAATATACTAGAGTATTTTTCGGGTTTTGAACGGTGTTTTCGCTCAGATTTATCTTTACATAAAAAGTGGATAAATTTCGATTACTTTTGAAATTGGGCTATTTTTGAACGACCAGTTGTAGAATCTGACTATTTTTAAAAATCTCCCGTGAAATTGCCACCTTAGAAGTTAAAATACACCGAATAATTGTGTCACTTCAGAAAAAATAAGAAGTGCTAACATTAGAAAAACCTTACCCTTACCATTCTTTCATAAATGTCAAGAAAAAAAATACTCTTGTTCTCTCTAGAAAACTCTTTGAAATCATTTCACGGCAAAGTTGGAAGTAGTTTTCCTACGCTTTTCTTTGCAGGATAATTTTTTTCCTATGTAATACAAGTACGATCACAAATTAACCTTTACGGTATAGTTCATGTTTATATACATATATGCAATTATATGGGAAAGGATCCCCTCCAGTACACTACTCGTCAAACAAATACATTGAGTTTTGGAAGACTGTGTTCTGGAAAGGAATTGGGATATTATCACTTCTAGCCCGCGCCAAAAACTATTTATATTTAGTAGCCGAAAAAGTTTATAAAATTTGTATATAACATACAAAATGTATATATATACAAAAAATATATATAAATTTTATATATTTTCTCGGCTATTATTTTTACAGCGGCTATACAGTGTCATTTTTCCAAAGGAATTCACCCTTGTTTGATTTGTTAAAAAAATAGTACGGAAATAAAAAAGAAACAGCATTTTCAGTAAGTGTATCCACCTGATTTCACTCTTCTTTTAATTTGCCCATCACCAATGGTTGTGATAGAATGCATAGAATTTATCTGCCTTTAATTGATCTAATAGAGGTCTCAGGTTCGACGTCCCTTAGAATGAAAAAAAACCTATAATAGACCTAAGTGTTTGCCTCTGAAGCGGAAAAGTTCATTGCTCATCTTCAATCAAATACCTTGAAAGAGTGGAAATATTATGCTATAATAATAGCCACCCTGAAATTTATTACAATAGTGAGCAAAAGAGAGTGTTTCTGTCAGCAGTCTTGTAACGTAAATATCGTCGACTACTTTCTTGTATAGCCATCTCTGTAATCAATTCTACAGACATACACCAAACTGCACATAATTAGTTGTAAGGTTTGAATTATAGAAAATACAACTACTTAGAATGACATGTTAGTTATCTGTAGTTGCAGCATACTAAAAAGAAAAGATTTCTACCTTTGAATAGCAATGGGAAGGAAATTGCCACAGTGGAGAACAAAAGATGTTTGAAACTTGAGCAGATTCAACCAACAATGGTACAAAGCTTGGCTAACAATTATTTGACTTCAAGACTGCATTTAGGCTGCAAGCAACAACATAATATGCAATAAGATAAAAGATAAAAACCATTCAGAGACAGGCATAAATTCATTTATGAGCAAAGGGTTCTGTTAGACACCACACATCTAATTAATTTAAGGCTTATAAATATCAGACAAATGGCAGTAAATTTTAAAAATAGCCAGATTTACAACTGGTCGTTCAAAAATAGCCCAATTTCAAAAGTAATCAAAATTTAGCCACTTTTTATATAAAGATAAATCTGAGCGAAAACACTGTTGAAAACCCGGAAAATACTCCAGTATATTATGCTGGAGTTCCAGCATAAGTATACTTGAACTCAAGCATATTATACTGGAGTTCCAGAATAAGTATGCTGGAACTCCAGCATAATATGATGGAGTTCCAGCACAAGTACACTAGAACTCCAGCATAATATACTGGCGTTCCAGCAAGTATATTGGTCCAGTATAATGTACTGGAGACTGGAGCACCGGATACTGGAGTTTGGAGCACCGGTGCTCCAGTCTCCAGTATATTATACTGGAGCCAGCAAAGTATACCGGTCCAGCATAATATGCTGGAGTTCATACACAAGTGCACCGAACTCCAGTATATTATGCTGGACCGGTCTCTATTGCAGCAAAATAGTGGCTATTTTTCATTGACTTGGTAAACGCTGGCTATTTTTAATTGACCAGTCCGAACACTGGCTATACCGTGCTAATTTTACGACAAATGGGGATAATGAGATATGCTTAACTTGAAAGTTGAAACAAAACCAAGAAAAAAGACATTTCTTTTTCTCATCTGATGATCTTGTTTCAACTTTCAACTACTAAAAAGAAAGGAAATATGCAGCAGAAAGTTATTACTTAAAGGCAAACCCTGCAACATTTTAAGTCAAATATGAGAAGAAACACATTTGAAATCATTCTACATGAATGTAAACAATCTAACTGGGAACTTTACATATAGGTCCCTCCACAGTTATCTAATAAACATGAGTGAGGTTATCACATCATAGACTTTTCTGGTGTTGAAAATTACTGCACTACTCAAATTGATACTCTCATTCAGCCGTCTTTCATATTAATTCTTTATCAATTCACCCGCACAGCAATTTAGAAGTAATTCCTAATAGAACCTTCTTAACAGAATGAACGCGAATCAAAATGTTGAGATTAATCACAAATCTTGGTCAAACCAATATACCAGACTGCTTTTTGGTGAAGCAGCTCCAAACACATATTAGCATACAATTGCGGACTCTTCTCGGTCAATACAAAATGTTCAAATATTAGAGCTCATCTAAACAAGTCCTGAGTACGACAATTTGGCAAAACCTGCTTAAAACTAGACCCTGAATTCTTAGGCAACGAACGATACATCTGATAAGCTTTTCTAGACAACTGAATGCTAGCTATATAAAAAATACTGCCCAAAGACAACTAAAGTCCCAATGAACTAGACATTTGGAACTGAAAAACCTTCTATTCTGCAGTTCATAAGATGGTTTCCTATCTTTATAGAATGTCTCAAATCAAGAGTAGCTCTATTTCTAACAACGTAACAAGTGTCAATTGAAAAACTGGAAAGCTTCAGCATGGAACCTGCCTTTACTTGTACAAATATGTAGATGTTTGAGCAATCTACTTCATGTGCAGAAGCCAATGCAATCTATTTCAATGAGTTCCACTGTACCCAGTATTTTCAACATTGGACATAGACATATATACAAAACCACTAAAATTTCAACAAATATAAATTTTAAACCTATAATTTCAAAAGTGGAATGTATTCAGTGCTAAAAACCTTAAAGGTTAAACTAATTAAGTTTAAATTTTGAATCTGCATCTGACTTCATGTCAACTGTTCAGACCCAAACCATGATACTACTGACTTCTTAACATTAATATCTGCTTTCTCTTGAATAATGGATTAAAGAACTAATAGGTGCTTTTCCTTTTTTATTTTTCACAATTTCCTGGAAAGTTGTGGTTGGTGGTCGTACCACACTAAACCATATATATATATATATATATAGCATCTTGAATAAGAAAAAAACTTTAGTACAATACAATTCTAACAAGAACAAAAAACAAAGTATGATCTCATGCCATCCATAATTAAAGATACAAATTCATTTCTTTAAAAGCAGAATCCATTTGGATCTTTCCCTGAATCATTGTGTACTACACTCACAAAATAAACATAAACAAAACCAATAAAAAGAATAAACAAATGCTACTTAACAACCAACCTCAGATTCCAGGTAACTTCCATGAGGCCTAATAATTAAAGAATGAAAATCTTCCAAAGACAAAGCTGCTCTATTCCTCTCCTGAACACAATCTTGAGTCCTATTCTGCATACTGAACAACACATTATGCCAAGTATTTACCCTTGAACGACCCTTTTTAGGTAATCCTACATTCATATCAGCCAAATCCTCTGCTGTAACACTTAAAATCTCCTCTGGTTCAGCACCATCAAGCAACCATAACAAGCAAGAACAAAACCCTTTTGTGATCTCTGAATCACTATCTACTCTAAACCTCATTGAACCCCTTTTATCCATCCTAACCTCTAACCAAACCTGAGTTGTACAACCCATGACTCTGTTTTCTTGAACCTTAGCTGACTCACTTAATGGTGGGAGAATACTTGCATACTGTAATAATCTTTTCACTCTATCAATTGGTTCTGATAACGACCTAAATTCCAAACCTAAAATCTGAACTTTGTCAATAACACTTAACCCCTCTTCTACCGGTGCTTCTTTGTCCATAATCAAGCAAGAAACTGAGGAAAGGCTCCGTCTTTTAGTTGTTGATCTTGAATTTGAGTAACACCTGTTTGCGGAAGAAGTGAAAAAGATTGGACTTTTAATACATAATTGAGGATTTGGCTTGGTGGGTGTGAAAATGACTGGATTTTTAGTACATTATTGAGGAATTGGCGATGAAATTGTTAAAAAAGAATATGGGAATGGAAGTGTGTGCATGTTGGTTAAGAAGAAAAAATGATAGAAGAAAATTGGAGAGTGAGGGGATTTGCTGATGACAGTTAGAAGTTGGTGACGTGTGAGATTTTGAGAGATAAAAAAGTGGGAATTGGATCCTTTAACTTCGGGAAGTTTTGAGTTTCAGAGAGCGAAAAGTAGAAAACAAAGGTGAAAAAAGGCCATAAGAATCTGATGATGAGAAGAAGAAGGTGCAGCAAAAGAGAAATAAAAGCAGTGGCGTTTTATAAGCCCGAGGCCATTGGATATTTCATTCCAAAAACACAAAAAGCGCCAATAGTGGAAATCTCCCATGAATCTTGTTTTTTATATTTTAATTTCATTTTCGTAAAAGGCTTTTGGGAAATTTTTGGTTGAAGTCCAAAAAAGAAAGAAAATTGAGGTCAAGTTGTGGTGAAAGAAAAAGGATATTTAAAAATTAAAATATTCTTTAAAATGCATTTACATATTAATAGATTAATATAAATCAAAATATTTTATAGTAAAAATATAAAATATCACAATATTATAGTTGAAGAAAAAATTATTTGATTTTTTGAAATAGTAGTAATATGGTTATGCTTTTTGGAATAAAAAGGAGTAACCTTTAACTTAACTACTAATTGAAGCTCTTCTGCTTCTTTTTTTTCTTTTTGTCTGAAAATGTGAGGGTGATGAAAATTGACTCAAATTCCTCTTCTTCTTCTTTTTTTTTTTAAGACTTTCCCTATAAGATTTGAAGAAGACCCATATTATAAAATGAGATATAATACACTGAATATGCATGTTATTATTATATATTAAGTTAAATTCGTTGTACTCTAACCCGGAACAATAACATTAACCAATAAGACTTGCTAAAAAGAAGTTGGTACCTTAAAATTGAATAAAGTTGTTGAGAATAAATTCATAATTTATCAAGATCAATTCTTATTGTCACCAGTACAAGAGCAGCGAAAATGATCATAATATAGAAAACCGGTGGATTGAAACTTTGACGAATGGACAAAACCACACTACAATCCGTGCAAGAAAACAAGATTATAAGCAAACTGTTGCGACCAAAAGCACACGCAAGCATATGCGGACGTCAAATAATAAAGTGACACTATTAGAAAGCCGGAAAAAAGCGACCAACAATTGGCGATCAAAATTGGTCTGACAATAAAAGCGACCAAAGTTGGTCGCTAAATTGGAGAAAATTATTAAATAATTATTCTAAATACATTAGCGATCAAGGTTGGTCGCTTTTTGGTCGATAATGTGATCAAAATGTTGACCGTACTGGTCAGACTTGCTTGGTCAAAGAAATACTGAAATTAGCGACCAACTTTGGTTGCTAAAGTGGGACCCAGTTATAAAATTTTAATAATTATATTATTATTTAAAAAAATTATAAAATATAAATAAATATAATTTAAAATTAGCGACCAAAGTTGGTCGCTTACGAAAGGGGAAGCAGATAGAGACCAACTTTGGTCGCTAATCTGGGACCCAATTATAAATTTATAATTATTTATTATTTAAAAAATTTATAAAATATATAAAATATTAATTAAAAATTAGCGACCAAAAGTTGGTCGCTTACGAAAGGGGAAGCAGAATAGAGACCAACTTTGTGGTCGCTAAATCTGGGACCCTCAGTTTCTAATGTTTAACAATTATATTATACTTTTAAAGTATTATATAAAATATATAGAATTTGAATTTAAATAATTTGATTTAAAAAATTATCCATATATAATATATATATATATTAATAATCAAAAACCCTTCTTCCTCCAGTACTCTATCATAAGTGAAATTAAGAATAAAAGAAAGCCAAATAAAAGGAGTCAATCTAACTGTGACAAAAGACAAAATTTGGCTGGTTTTAAGGATCCTAAACAACATTCTAAAAGCATGACGAACATTTGTATTTAACAACGGCCAAGCATAAATAGCTCACTGCAATTTAGGATCTGGAGATTCACTTCCTAGCATATCTCAAACGTCCTCAGAGTGAAGGACTAACCCTTAGCAGAATATCCCCGCTGCGCATAGATCATGGCATGACATAGTTGGATTATACAAAAATCCTGAACATAGGCAACCTTTCTGAAAAAAGATTTTTCAATAAAACTGTCGGAATCACATTCAACACATTTGTCCGGTTCAGCCACCACTAGTACAGTTTCCCTTCTTTGATTTCTTCACAGACACATTGGGGCAAACGCTTCAGCTGATGCGTGGCTGTGTGTACCCAAAACCCACTGAATTGCTATTAGTCCAGCGCTACATATTACGGGAAAGAACTCTCCTTTCAGTCCCCTTGGCTTAGTGTCTGATATTCAGCAGCAGTGGCATATGAACCTCAATTTGGTAATATTAGATTTTGCAAATGTATGATTTCTGCTAAGACGAGTAGCCATAAATTTCCACAAACTCGAAGACCTGAATACTATGATGCAAGATTGCAAAAACAAATTAAAAGCTATAGAAAGAGCAAGTAGGGGGCGTTACTGTTAAGAGTTGGTTCAATTTAGTGATGCTGTTTCAATTGTGTGCAACTAATTGATGACTCTATATACTTGCGGAAGCATTCGATATGGGGAGACAAATGGATAAGCATGCAGAAATTAAGGACACCATGAAATAAGGTCAATGTGCATAAACATAAATAAGATTCTAGATAGATGATTTACCCATCATGGTGTCTCTTCCGCTTCGTCCTTCTTAGTACGTCGACCACCTGTTAAACATACCCAGACTAAATTTTATTTTATTTTGATTGAATTAGGCCGATTAAACGCCCCATAAGAGCTAAAACCGATACCAAATCCGCCCATATCTTATCGGGTGGCTAGCGGAATTAATACATTTAAAAGACGATAACCGATAAGCCAAACCGTTAAGAGTAAATAACCGCCCAATCCGCCCGATAATCAGCCCTAATCTAAAATAATATAATGTAATCCGTTAACACTTTTGTAATACAAGGGATGAATACACATAAAATATACTCTAACATGCTATATATGTAGTTAAAGTAGTTACAACGAAGCGTGTTATATATATATATATATATATATGTGTGTGTGTGTGTGTGTGTTGTGTGTGTGTGTGTGTGTAAAATTGATTCATCGACTTATAACCCTACTCAGATGCATCGTTGAATATTAAAAACAAAAACGTCTCGACTTATATCAATATCTGTTATAATTGATTCATCGACTTATAACCTAGTGATGAATGAATTGTAATTCATTAACTCTGTTACAATAACAAATAATGATACAGTATCAATATATAATAACATGCTATATATGTAGTTAAAGTAGCACGAAGTAATGTAGTGTTATAATATATACACACACTAACATATATATAACAAGTTATATATACTTTATAGTATTACAGTGAAGTGTCTGTGTGTGTAGATGTGTGTGTGTGTGTGTCTATATATATATATATATAATATATAATATATATATTATAATATAATATATATTAATATAAGAACATAGAAGCGCTATGAACACTGGGCCGGGTTCATTTAGGTTATTGATACATTTGTAAATTGATTCATCGACTTATAACTTAGTGATGAATGAATGTAATTCCATTAACTCTGTTATAAATACAAATAATGAATACAGTAGCAATATACTATAACATGCTATATATGTAGTTAAAGTAGCACGAAGTGTGTGTTATTATATATACACACACTAACATATACTATAACAAGTATATATATCGTTATAGTATTACAGTGAAGTGTGTGTGTGTGTGTGTGTGTGTGTGTGTGTGTGTGTGTGTGTGTCTATATATATATAAAGAACATGAAGCGCTAGGAACACAGGGTCGGCGTTCGTTTAGGGATTGCTTAAATTGAATTGATTCATCGACTTATAACCTAGTGATGAATGAATGTAATTCATTAACTCTGTTATAATACAAATAATGAATACTATTATATCAATTAACTAGAATAATATTATATTGGTTATCAATTCATTAATTATTCGTACGTAGCAATGTAATAAAGATTGATCATCAATTACAATATAGTTTATTGCGTGTGTATGAAATTACTCATATACTTAAATATAACTTAAAAAATTCCTTTACATACATGCTATTATAATCTATTAAAAGTAATTACCTAGTTAATATATTTTTTTTAAAGATTTATTGCTTAATTTTAGTTTTTTTATATAATATTATTTATAATAATTGGTAGTTAAATAAAACAAATATTTATAGCTAATAAGATTTTTTTTATAGCTTATAATATTTAAAAACCAAAATAGAAAAAAAATTATTTAATTTTTTTTTAGAAATAGCGACCAACGTTGGTCGCTTTTTGTAAATCCAGACTCAAAAACGGGTTTCCCCCTCCCATTCTCTTATTTTCTTCCCCAAAATTTCCCCAACTCTCTCTCAACACATTCCCCTCCCCTTCTCTATTTCCCTCACACAAATTAATCCCCCCACCCCGCGCCACCACTGCGACCACCGGAGCCACCGCCGGAGCCGCCTCTGCCACCGTTGTCGCTGCCCCTCTCTCTCTTTCTCCACCTAAAAAAAACTAGGTTTGAATTATAACCTTGAATCTTTGTTATTTCTAGTTTTTGTTTCAATTATTTCAATATTGTAGTTTAAGGATATGAATTAGTGCTTAAATTCTTTGAACATTGTATTTTATTGAGGATGAGGGTTTAGGTCTTATTTTAGTTAGCTTTGTTAATTAATTTTATTAACTAATTAGTTTAATTAGTGTCGAATTTAGTATAGTTAGATTTGTATTATACTTTGTATTGTCTTGATAGTTTAGTTAGAATCTAGGGTTTAGGATATGAATTGAACCTTTAGGATATGAATTGGACTTTTAGTTTATGTATTGGAATTTTAGTTTATGATTTGAACTTTTAATTTATAAATTGAACTTTTTGGATATGAATTGAACTTTTAGTTTATGAATTGAACTTTTAGTTTATAAATTAAAATTTTAGGATATGAATTGAACTTTTAGGATATGAATTGGACTTTTAGGATATGAATTGAACTTTTAGGATATGAATTTTAGGATATGAATTGGACTTTTAGTTTATGTATTGGAATTTTAGTTTATGATTTGAACTTTTAATTTATGAATTGAACTTTTTGGATATGAATTGGACTTTTAGTTTATGTATTGGAATTTTAGTTTATGATTTGAACTTTTAATTTATGAATTGGACTTTATGGATATGATTGGACTTTTAGTTTATGTATTAGAATTTTAGTTTATGATTT